CTTGCTTCTGGAGGTTTAAACAAACAATTACGCCACGTTCTAGAATTTTGCTTTGACGCACTTTTTCATCTTTTCCAGTTCAGCATCTTCTGTGAATAGAGTTTCATATTGATTTTCGACTTCTACTAAAGGCGTGTAGAAAAGCTGCTGTAAAAGGTGTTGGTGTTGTGGTGCTGTTTTTCCCAAAATTAACTTCAAGGTGACAATTTATGGCGGAAACTTTTTGTGTCCTGTTTTTATATAGGAAGTAGCGCTCTGATGACGTCCAATTTGCAAAAATTTCCTTTGCTGTCTGCCTCACACATACTTTTCACCAACAACTTTCTTGCTTTCAGTATTACTCGTATCCAATTTCGACTTTTATCCTTCTTGTCTAATTTTCTGTTTTTATTTTTTGAGTAAGTGTGCATGATTGACAGAAATATGCGCTATACTTCATCATCGGTTTCTATTATAGAAAAGGTATTTCTCTACTCAACATGTCGGAAAGGTATATGAAAACTACTTGTTTAGAAACTCGTCTCATGTGCTCCATTCAATCGTTCAGCTCAATCGTGAAGATGTTCTGCTGTTATACTTCATTGAAAATGATTCTAAGGTGATGACTTTTTCTTGATCTTCTTTGTCTCCGAACTACTTCACTCGTCACTTATAGTAAGCTTTCGAAGCTGTTCGGTGTGCTTACATTATTGACGCTTGAATTCGCAATGTTTGTTGATTACTGTTTGGAAGCTCCCTCATCTTAGGCTTAATATCCGTGCATGGCACCTACGGTGAAAGCTCATAAAGGAGTAAACTCCTTGACGTTGATCAATCCGGCGTTTTGGGGTCACTGACATCATCCACCTCCACTCAGGATCGCATTTGCGCAGGGTAAATTTTCGGGATTTGAAGGACTGAGGGTCCATTTTATACTATTCAGTGCTTCTATCCTCTGACAGTCAGACGGGTCCGGTACCGATAGTCCGACCTTAAGAGATGAAGATTTAGTTGACCTTGTCTTCATAAGCCATGGATGAGCAAATTCTTAACCATGGTGATGTTGAATCTATTTTTTGCTCTGGGAGACGACCGCTAAGCGACCCATCCTCAACACAGTTGTTAGAAGGCAGGAGTATCATCATTGTCTATGAAGTCGACAGTAACTGTAGGCCTTCCTGTTAGTGGGCTGACTTTATAATATTAAATTGTGTCTGGCCTTCTGTAAATCACCTTATCACCACGATTAAACTGGCAAGTGACTGGAGCGACTTTATGAAAAAACTCAAAAATGGAAAAATTAACGTGAACAATTCCTTAAAATGATGTTATAGTCAAGCAACAGTATACTATGCACACGGAGCCTATTCTAATGAAGAGCTAGGAAGGAACGGAGATAAAAATAGCGACAAAAGACGTTCATAGCCACTTCTTCACCATCGTCATCGACTCCATACCCTACTTCCTCCTTTTCGCGGTGCCAAGGGTTTGGAGAAAATGCCACTGTAATTCCACATAGAGGATCATCTCATTAATATATTGCGTAGATCCAAGACATCATCCGAAAACATGTCCGAGCTTTAAATTCCTCTGCAAACGGCAACTTTGACTTGGGAATCTTTCCCAATCAGCGTAGTGTTTCTATGGATCAGCACCCGTTCGAGCAAAACGTGTTCTTTCTCTACATGATTGCTTTGCGCAGATTGAGTGCGTTGTTTTTGCTCAGAATAAAGTACGACTTTAGGTACACACCGACGTTGATGTTGTTGATG